CCCCCCCCCCCCACAGAGAACTGATTTGTCCTTTACTGATTGTTTGTAATTCTCTACTCCTCCACGCCATCCACAGGCCACTTCGGAAGAGCCGAACGAGGCTGTTGATGCACCTCTCAGGCTCCAGGGGGACGAGCATAAGCTGGAAGAACCTGCTAAGGTCACAATAACAAAGGTTTTCGACTTCGCAGGCGAGGAAGTTCGGTAAATGACTCTGCTGTGCATGACTTTATTTTTTTTTTCTTTAGGGGGTGCTAGTGGGGGGCTGATTCACACCGAGCAAGCTATGAAGCCTCTCATCTGGCTTCAGTATGGTACACGCCTTGCAAAATACGCTGGGAATGTAACTGCCTCTGGACCAGTGTTATGTTTGTCATAACGCAGAATGGCCACTAGATGGCAGCATTAGCCCAGGGTTCTTCAGTGGCTCGGCGTACCACCGAGCTGTCGGAAGCGGTCGTGTCTTGCTGAAATATTTAGCGGCATTTAGATTTATTACGCTGTCATGGCGTAATAAGATATAGGTCATGATTTGCGTTTGTTTGTACTCTTGTGAGAATAGACATCCCATTTGGTATGATGTAGTCGGGTGTCTGTTGGCTAACAGGGAGCACAGTCAGAGTTTATGACTAAGACTGCAGCTTTGACCTCTGGGTGTCTGGGTATCATCACAGTGATTAAGTGATTATCTCCAATACTTTTCTCCCTGAACACCACAGAGCCGTGTGCGCACATGTGCAATCGGAATCTTTTGCTGATTAGCTGTGAGATGAGAAACAGAAAAGCCGCTTTCTTGCGCAGCCTTTCATCCGCTCTGGCTCTTCCTCAGGGTCACTAAGGAGGTGGATGCGAGCTCCAAGGAAGCCAAGAGCTTCCTGAAGTCCAAGGAGGTGCAGGAGGAGCCTGAGTCCTGCCCAGACATGCCTTCTGTAACCTCACCTGGCCCTGGACCCAGGTAAAACTCCTGCCTATATCCATCACATCCGCACCACACAGTTGTTAAACATAAATGGACTGCATTTACATAGCGCTTTTCTACTCCTACGAGTACTCAAAGTGCTTTACCAGTGGCAACCTGGGCACCGGGAGCAGTTTGGGGTTCAGTGTCTTGCTCAAGGACACTTTGATCAGCTGGAACCAGGGCTCGAACCTGCAACCCTCTGGTTGCCGAACGATAGCACTACCTCCTGTGCCACCATCTTTCCACTGTCCACTGTCTTTCCATCGATTTGTCTTCCAGCTGCTGAAGTCTGTCCCAGGCAGCATAGGGTACGTCCTGGTCAAGGTGCCAGTGCGTTACAGGGCACATGCACACTGTATGACATTGTTTTCCGGTCCGGTCCTGGGGACCCACAGACCTACTAGGGGCTGGGAGGGAGCAGAAATGTAGACTGTCTGGCAGGGAGCACAGAGGGAGCAAAAACATGGACCAACTCTGGGTACCTGAGGACCCTATTGGGAAATATGATAAATTCAGAGATGCACTTCAGCTTAACTTCATGTATTTGAAAACCCACATGACTCTGAGAGAATATACAAGCTCCGCCCATATAGAGCAGAGGTGAGATTCGAACCCCAGCGCTGGAGGTGTGAGTGACGGAGCTGCCCGTGCACACACACAGGTGGCTGGGTGTGTCTGTCCCCGCCCATCGCTGAAGGACACGCCCGCTCTGTCCTGTCACATGGCCAGACTGTGCTCTACTGCAGTGACTCGTATGCATCAGAGAGAGAGGCACCTAGAGGTGACCCTAATCAGCATCTGATAGTGGAAGATGAAGTGTTATGTGAGCTATGGGCTGCAGGGATTCACCGCAGACCCCCCCACAGAAGAACATTCTTTTTTCAAAGATTTAGTCTCCTCCGTGACCCCAAGTTCATGCCCCCCCCGCAGTGCTTGCGGGCTGTCTTTGAAGGGGACTTGCTGCTCTGTGATGTCTGATCACTGTCACATTACGCCTTTGATCTTCTGCGACAAGCTCTTTGTGGCGGAGGAGGTGAGAGGAATCAAGGTGGAGGGATTACATTTATCTTCCATTCCAGTCAATTAGGTGTCTGTGTGTGCGTGCGTGTGTGCGTGCGTGTGTGCGTGCGTGTGTGCGTGCGTGTGTAAGTTCCGTTTTCCTCCAGGAAACCTCCAATCCCCTGATTCCTGATGTTCATGTTCAGTCTGGTTAATTCCAGTGTTTTCCCCAGCGTAGTTATTAATGTAATAATAAACCCATTAATGCCCATGGCTCGGTCACAAGTGGTTTAATTTTAGGGTGGGGGGAGTGGCGTTTTCCGTAAACAGCCGCTTCCCTGGCCCAGTGACGTCGGTGACGGTCTCGATGACACCGGCTGCTGTTTTTCCGCCTTTGCTCCTGTCCGTCTCTTCATGATTCCGGTCGGCGTGCTCCCGCGCGCGTAATGGCGGGCCGGGTCGCCCCCCTTAGCCTGCTTGTCATCCCCACGCCTCCCTCCTTCTTCTGAGGCCCTGGGGCTCATTTCCTGGGGTGACAGAGTGTCAGAACAGGACGCGCCCCCCCACTGCCTATCCATTCCTGTGTGGTGTTGCGTCCGCCCGTTTGTGGCTATTTTCGAAGGTAGCGCTGTGCCCCCCTGCATCCAGCCCCCCCATAATTAAAATGGTATAATTTCATCTCATGCGACTGCGATGCTGATCGGGTCAGCAAACTTGTTGAATTTAACTGGAAAATGCAGCAAATGTTTTCACTGCAGGGAAGTGTGCATGTATTTTTGGGAATTCTGGGATATCCATCTTCATGCTGCAAGCGGCTTTCCCAGGAAACGGCTCTCCCAGCCCACCTGCGCTCCGGCCAGCAAAGCCTCTGGGTCCGGCTTCTGGGATTGGGGCGTCTGATTTAAAAGCCAGGCTGAGGAGGCCTGCAGCGTTCTGGAAGCGCTGCTGAGAGAGACGCACCGCAGCTCCACCAGCTGGAGGTTTGAGGCTGGAAAGGCCTGAGTCAGCACACATCCAGGCCAGCAATGTGACTAGGATGCTGCTCACCACTGCAGGCCCGGAGCCTCTCTTAAAGGCACAGGAGCACCTTATTTTATCCCAGTTCAATGCCATAGGCTGTGAGCTGCTCTTAAAGGTACAGACACGCTGTATTTTATCTCCGTTCATCACTACAGACCACAGATTGCTCTTAAAGGCACGGCTACTTGGCCTGCTTCTCTCGTGGCTGTGGGGGCTTGAGCAGCCAGCTTGGGGGGGGGGGGGTGTCAGCCTCCCCATGCCACTCTAAAGCAGGCATGAGAAAGCCAGAGCTCCTCCTGTGCTCCTCCTGGGCTGAGCTCCTCCTTCTCTGCGACAGATGTGTCGGCAAGCTGCGACGGGAATGCGCTGCTGGCGTGAGTGGGAGCCTCGCTGTCGGAGTTCTGCAAATCGCTTCCATGCGCTGCACAATTCCGGGCCTGTTTTTCCAATTATGGGGGGCGAGGTAACCTCGGGCGTTGCTCTTATTGCACACGCTCTTCCATTTCACGCTAGAGAGCGGCACACTGCCCCCTATTGGCCAGCGCCTGCGGGGTGTGGGAAGGGAAATGGGGCTGAGTGCATGTGTGGGGTTAAGCTGCCAGATGTGCTGCTAAGCAAAGTTCCAGATGTGCCAGAGGTCTTGGCTGCCCCCTGGTGGCCAGTCCCCCCATGTGGGGGTGGGGTGGCACTGATTAAGGCGCCCCCCCCGAACACACGTGTTTCCTCACTTACGGTGGTTCTCCGGATCCCCCCAGCTCAGATTGAACACTGCTAAGTATAATTACTGTACTGTGACAAACCCCCCCCAGCACTGAACAGCCGTCTTATTAAAAAAATGTCATAAGGAGAAGCGACTCAAAGATGAAAAGGGGGGGGGGGGACCCGGCCCCATGGGGTCAGGAAGCGGTGGTGTTGTGCTCAGTGGTCCATGTCATGTGACTGCAGGTGATGTCACACAGTGAAGCAGAAGTGCTCTGGGTAATCTGGTACCCTTTTGTCTCACACGCTCATTCATGCGCACACACACACACAGACACAGACGCACACAGACACAGACGCACACAGACACACACGCACACAGACACACACAGACAGACACACACACGCGCACAGACACACGCACACGCACACACACGCACACGTACACAGACACACGCACACAGACACACACGCACGCGCACAGACACACACGCACGCGCACAGACACACACGCACGCGCACAGACACACACG